TATATATATACCTAAGTAAATAATTAGATTCTCCCCCCATAACAAGAAATCTTTTTATTTCTTTTTTATTTAATTTATTTTGTTTAAATATTTTTAATAAATTATTTATTCTTTCCTCGTACTTTGATGATTCATATCCATAACCTAAATAAATAAATAAATAAATAAATAAATAAATAAATAAATAAATAAAATAAATAAAATAAATAAATAAAATAAATAAATAAAATAAATAAATAAATATATTTATTTATTATTATATGATAAAATAATAATTGTATTAATAATTCCTTTTATTCAAAAAATCAGAAAACCCTAAACCCTAAACCCTAAACCCTAAACCCTAAACCCTAAACCCTAAACCCTAGAGGGTAATAATAATTTACCAGCAGCAGTAACAATAGCAACAATAATTCCTTTTTTTATTAATTGTACTAATAAATTAGCTAACTCTTCTTCCTCGAAGTTTTGTCCATCAGGATACAATGTATCATCACCATCTAATGTTAATAAACGTAAATTCTTACGGATACCTAAAATCTACAGCAGCAGCAGCAGCAGCAGCAGCAGCAGCAGCAACAGCAGCAGCAACAGAAAAAGAAGAATAAAAAATAATCCCTCCCTCCCTCCCTCCCTCCCTCCAAGAACTCCATCACATAACAAATAACACCCTAATAAAAACAACAAAAACAACAACAGCAGCAGCAGACAACAACAACAACAACAACAACAGCAGCAGCAGCAGCAAGCAGCAACAGCAAGCAGCAGCAAGAGGAGTATTATATATATATATATATATATATATATTACCTGTGCTAAATTAATAAGATGTCTACATTCATGAATAGTTGGTGAATTATATATTCTTAGGGAAATATTATAATTAATATTTAATTTTATATAACTATTTACTAAATATAATTTATTATAATACTTTTCTTTATAAGGAAAAAGAGCAGGAGGAGGGAGAGGAGGAAGAGGGAAAGGAGGAAAAATATGTATATTATTGTTGCTGCTGTTGATGCTGCTTATGCTGGTGGTCGTGGGGATCGTGGGGATCGTGGGGATCGTGGGGTTGGTGATGGTGGTGGTGGGGTAATAGGGATAGGTATTATTCATGTTATAGGTAATAGGTACACCTATTCCTCCTCCTGCTGCTGCTGCTGCTGCTGCTGCTGTTGCTGCTGCTGTTGCTGCTGCTGATAAGGATGATGGTAAGGGAGGACGATATAATGGAACTGTTGGGCCTTCGTATATAGGAGATGGAGTTCCTCCTCCTCCTCCTCCTCCTCCTCCTCCTCCTGCTGCTGCTGCTGCTGCTGTTGCTGCTGTTGCTGCTGCTGCTGCTGTTGCTGCTGCTGCTGATGATGAGAAACAATCACTGCTGTATGTACTTATTGGACTATCTAGCAAACTTGAATAACTTGATGGATTTGCTGCTGTTGCTGCTGCTGCTGTTGCTGCTGCTGATGGTGTTGTTACTCCTGTTGCTCCTGCTGCAGCAGCAGCAGCAGCAGCAGCAGAAGGAATATCATCAATAACATCAAGAGCTGAATATGTACGTGTTAATTGTCTATCCCTTTCTGTTAATTCTTGCTGCTGCTGCTGTTCTTGCTGCTCCTTTTGCTGCTCTTGCTGCTGTTGCTGCTGTTGCTGCTGCTCATCTGTGTCTTCGTCATCAGATGATGATGAATAACCTATCGATGCAGAAGACATCGATTCCTCCTCTCCTGCTGCTGCTTCCTCTCCTCCTGCTGCTGCTCCTGCTGCTGCTGCTGCTGCTGCTGCTGCTGCTGCTGCTGCTCGACGACGACGAGGACGAGGATTCAGATAAGGAACAAAAGAAGTACATATATTTTTACTAATATTTTTCTCTATTACCTCCAAACAAGGGACAGCTAGCTGCTGCAGTACCCCCATATTAAATAGACACTGCAGCAGCGCATGCAGCTGCTGCAGCAGCAAATCGGGGCCTTGAAGAGACACAGGAAAATGATACATACCCTGCATGCGCAAAAACATAAACAGCAACAGCAGCAGCACATGCAGCTACAATAACAGCAAGTGCAACACGTAACAACAATTGCAACAACAGCAGCAGCAGCAGAACAGGTGAGACTCCTGCTGCTGCTGCTGCTGCTGCTGCTTCTTTTTCTCTTAACACTACACAGATCTAACAACAACTGCAACCACAACAGCAACAGCAACGGCAGCAGCAACAACAACAGCAGCAGCAGCAGCAGCAACAGTATCGTGCTACTTGCTCTCTAGTAGAGACTGACCCCTGGAGAAAAGTCTATGGATGGCAATCGCAACTCATGCTGCTGCTGCTGGTGTTCCTGCTGCTGCTGCTGTTCCTGCTGCTGCTGCTGTTCTTGCTGCTGTTGTTGCTGCTGCTCCTGTGATAATGTGTCACTAATGCTGCTCTGTGGAGAGCATGCTTCCCTCTTACAGTCTTCCATTGTTCCTGCTGCTGCTGCTGCTGCTGTTGCTGCTGCTGCTGTGTGTGCTGCTGCGTGTGCTGCTGTGTGTGTTGTTGTTGGTGGTGCTGCTGATTGTGCTGCTGTTGGTGCTGCTCCTGCTGCGGGAACAGTTAAGTCAAGGGTAAGAACAGCAGCAATAGAATGTTCAGCTGCTGCTCTATGCGTGTGTCATTAGAAGCCTTGCTGTTGTTGTTGCTGCTGCTGCTGCTTGTACTGCTTTTGCCGCTGCAGCTGCTGCTGTTGTTGCTGCTGCTGCAGGACCAGCAGCACCCCTCTTGCTGCGACCGTTGCTTGTCTTTTCTTATAAAGTATTTTCTTTGTTATTAAGTTTTATAAAAGAATAAATAATAACAATTATTAAACAAAACAAAACAAAGAAAAAAAAGAAGAAGGTGCAGCAGAAACACTCCCGCCCCTGTCGGCTGCGGCCTCAGCCCTATATATGCAGCAGCAGTAAAGGCAGCAGCAGCAGCAGCAGCAGCAGCAGCCGCAGCAGCAACAGCAGCAGCAGCACTAGTAGTAAGTTTATGTATTTCAATGTCAAGAGGGAGGGAGGGCCGAAAATAGAGGCCTGAGGCTGTCTAACAAGGATAAGGTCACAGCAGCTGCAGCAGCAACAGCAGCAGCAGGAGCAGCAGGAGCAGCAGGAGCGACTGCTCCTTTCACAGCAAGGGGCAGCAGCGCATGCAGCAGCTGCAAAAAGACATTTTAGAAGAAAGTCTAAGGGGCAGTAGAAGCTGCAGTGAATGCAGCAGCTGTGCTGCAGCAGCAGCTCCAAACGGCAGCAGCAACAGAAACAGCAGCAGCAGCAGCAGCAGCAGCACGATGTGTAGCAGTTAAGCAAACGATTGTTGCTGAACACCGAAAGAAGCAGCATCAGCAGCTGCATCACAGACAAGCTGCTCTTCTCTGCAACAGCAGCAACGGCAGCAGCAGCAGCAGCAGAAGCAGCAGCAGCAAGGAGCGATGCAATCCTTTTGGGCCAACGCGAAGGATGTGGCGCGTACGGTGTCTGGGCAGCTCGATCAGACGTTCGAGGCAGCGCTAACAGGCAGCAGCAGCAGCAGCAGCAGCAGCAGCCGAAGCAAACCAGGGAGAAGCAACAGCACCGGGGGGCATGATAGCAGCAGCAGCAGCAATGGAGATAGCAGCAATGGCAGCAACTGGAGAGCAGCAGATGCTTTGCTGCAGCACGGGCAGTCTTCTGCTGCTGCTGCTATTGAAGGGATAAACCGCCTGTGGGGCAGAGCAGCAGCAGCAGCAGCAGCAGCAGCGCCAGCTGCTCTCTCTCCCCTCTCAGCTGCAGCAGCAAATCACAACCCTCTCTCTACTTCCCCGTGGAAGCAGCAGCAGCAGAAGCAGCAGCAGCAGCAACAGCAGCAGCAGCAGCAGCAAGAAGAGGAAGATGAGGAAGACACAGATGATGGCGAATTATCTCTGCAATCTTTCCTGCAGTCGCAGAAGCAGCGGCAGCAAATGCTGCAGCAGCTGCAGCAGCAACTGCAGCAGGAAGATAGTCCGCTGCAGCAACAGAAGCAGCGCAGGCAATCCGCTGCAGCTGCAGTACCAGCAACAGCAGCAGCAACAGCAGCAGATGAACGGGCCTCTCGGGCAGCAAGCCCTCTACCGGTAGTGCCACAGCAGCAGCAGCAGCAGCAGCAGCAGCAGCGGCAGCGGTCTTGGGACCCACTTGGTGCTTCTGTTGTAAATCAGCAACAGAAGAGCAGCACTAAAGCGCAGCATGCCAACGCAGCAGCAGCAGCAGCAACACCAGCAGCAGCAGCAGCAGCAGGTGAGCTGGATGGCAAGAGGGGGACTCAGCAGCGGCGGCAGCAGCAGGGAAGTAACTTAGCAGCAGCAAAGGACGGCGCAGCAGCAGCAACTGCAGCAGACACAGCAGCAAGGGCAACACGAGGCGCAGCAGCAGCGGGAGTAGCAGCGGAAGAGGTAGCAGCAGCAGAAGTTGGTGCAGCAGATACAGACACCCCAGCAGCAGATGCAGCAGCAACAGATGCAGCAGCAGCAGGAGGAGCAGCAGCAGCAGCAGAGAACCGGTCCCCCACTATTGTTTTATTGACAGATACAACGCCGTCCCCAGCAGCAGCAGCAGAAGCAAAGCCAGCAGCAGTAGCAGCAGCAGCAGATGCAGAAGCTGCTTCCCCAGCAGCTGCCTCCTCTCCAGCAGCAGCAGCAGCGACAACACCCCTTGAAGAAGTTACTGCTGCTTCCTCACCAGCCAGCAGCAGCAGCAGCAGCAACAGTAGTAGCAGCAGCAGCAGCGGCAGGGAGGAACAGCCAGCAGCTCTTTCTCTTGCAGGAGTGTCTCCGCTAGCAGCAGATGCAGCAGCAGATGCTGCAGTTGCTGCAACAGCAGAAGCGGCAGCAGCAACAACTGCTGCTGCTGCTGCTGCGCTGGACACTGCAGCAGCAGCAGTAACAGAAGCAACTGCAACAGCAGCGGAAGCAACAGCAGCAGCAGCGGGAGCAACAGGTGGAGAGGCAGAAACAACAACAGCAGCAGCAGAAGCAACAGCAGCAGCAGAGGCAGCAGCAGCAGTAGCAGCAGCAGCAAGCGCAGTGGAGGCCCTCTGTGAGTCTAAGGAATCTTGTGTTGCTGCTGCTGCTGCAGAGGAGGATTTGCTGCTGGAGGTGTGCAGCTTGCCACAGAAGCAGCAGCAGCAGCAGCAGAAGCAGCAGCAGCAGCAGCAGCAGCATTGTTTAGAAGACCTTATGGATTTTGCTCCGTCGCCCACGGCAGCTGCAGCAGAAGCAGCAGAAGCAGCAGCAACACAAGAGAAAACTGCAGCAGCGGCAGCAGACGTACACTCACCAGCAGCAGCAACAGAAGTAGCAGCAGCAGAAGTAGCAGTACCTGCAGCAGCGACTGCTTCTGCTGCAGCAGCAGCAGCAGAAGCAACTGCAGCAGAAATAGAGGATGACATTGTTGCAGCAGCAGACACATGGCAGCCGACTTGCGAAGCAGCAGAAGCAGCAGCAACAGTAGCAGAAACAGCAGCAGAAGCAGCAGCAGCAGCAGCAGCAGAAATCACAACTGCAGCAAGACATGTCGATCCTCTTGCTAAAGAACCTCAGAAGGAGCAGCAGCAACAGCAGCAGCAGCAGCAGCAAACACTGCTAGAGGAGTTTGCTGCACCGCAGCAGCCGCAGGCTGTCTCTCCACCCCCTCCTCCTCCACCCAGCCCTCCCCCAGCAGCAGCAGCAGCAGCAGCAGCAGCAGATGGTGACAAGACAAGGCGGAAGCAGCAGAGAATTGATGCCGATGACACCGAAGCTCGTTTGCTGCAGCAGCTGCAGCAGCAGCAGGAAAAGTTGCTGGAGCAGCAGGACCAGCTAGAGCTGCAGCAGCAGATGTTGCAGCAGCAGCAACAACTGCTGCAGCAGAGGGAGCAGCAGCTGCAGCACAAATCAGAGCAGCTGTCTATACTCCTTGATCCTCAACGAAGCCCTGATGAAGAACTGCAGCAGCTCAGACACCAGGTAACCCTAAACCCTAAACCCTAAACCCTTGGAGGGAGTAGGGGACGTGGCTGTGCTGCAGATGCATCACGGGGTTATTTTTGCTGCTGCTGCTGCTGCTGCTGTGTTCCTTGTTTGCTGCAGCTGCAGGATCAGCAGCAGCAGAATCAGGATTTGCTGAGCACCATTGAGCTGCTGAATGCATCGCTGCGGGAGCAGCAGCAGCAGATAGAGCAGCAGCAGCAAGAGCAGCAGCTGCTGCAGCAGGAGTATGGTGAGCTGCAGCAGGAAGGACAAGCACTATCTACTCGTCTTGGTGCTGCTGATGCTACTATTAAGAAACTAAGGACACAGTGTGATGTAAGTCCTGCTGCTGCTGCTGCTGCTGTTGCTGCTGTTGCTGCTGCTGCCGTTGCTGCTGCTGCTTGGGTTGCTTTCGTTGCCTGTGCTGCTGGAGCTGCTGTTGTTTGTACGGTTGTTATTGCCATTTAAGGTTTAGGGTTTAGGGTTTAGGGTTTAGGGTTTGTTGGTGTGATTAGGGTTATAAGTCATTAAAGGCAGCACATGAACAATTAACGACAGAGGCAGCAGCAAAAGACAGAGTTGTTGCAGACCTTGAAGCTAAGGTACTCTAAACCCTAAACCCTAAACCCTAAACCCTAAACCCTAAACCCTAAACCCTAAGCACTTAGACTATCTGGGGTCCTTGTCAGTGTTGCGCCTACCTACCATATGGTGTGATGCTGCTGCTGCCTGGGTGTTTACTATTGCTGCTGCTGCTGCTGCTGCGTTTGTGGCGTTGCTGCAGCTGCAGCGGCTTGCTGATGCTGCTGCAGAGGCAGAGGCAAGCCGTTCGAGTGCTGCAGCAGCAGCAGCAGCAGCAAAAGCGGAGATAGCGTAAGGCTTAAACCCTGCAGCACAGTAAATACGTCCCTGTTGCTGCAGCATGTCTTACTGCTGCTATTGTGCATGCTGCTGCTGCTGCCTCTGCTGCTGCTGCTGCTGCTGCAGGAAACTGGAGATGGCTGCAGCAACAAAGGAGACAGAGACGGTGGAGCGACTGAAGGCAATCAACAGCCAGCTAACTCACCAACTTGCTGTGAGGGTTTAGGGTTTAGGGTTTAGAGGGTTTGCTTATGGTGCACGAGTCTTGCTACCGTTGCTGCTGTTGCTGCTCACGGGAGAGGGTTTGATCTAGGGTTTAGGGTTGGGGACCTAGGGAGTTTTAGGGTTTAGGGTTTAGGGTTTGCGATTAGTTTGTTGTTGCGGATATAGGACGCCAAGGCGATCTCTGCAAGACTGGAGAAGCAGCACTACGAGCAGCAGCAGCAGCAGCAGCAACAGCTGCAGCAGCTGCAGTGCGAGAACGATGAGTTACATGTATGCCTTTAGTTTTCCTTACTGCTGTTTAGGGTTTAGGGTTTAGGGTTTAGGCCTGAGGGTTTAGGACTTAGGGTTTAGGGTTTGGGTGTCCACAGGCAATGCTGGCTGGAGCCTCCAAACCCTCACTAGAGAAGATAGCAACAGCAGAAAAGGACGCAGCTGCTGCGCGGCAGCAGCTGCATTTGCTGCAGCAGCAGCTGCAGCAGCAGCAAAAGGAGTACGCAGCGCAGCGCGAAGAGTTGAATAGACAACTGCAGCAGCAGAGAGAAGCCTTGGAGAAGCAGCAGCAGCAGCAGCAGCAACCATCACAGCTGCAGCACCAACACGCAGCACAACTCAAGGCTCTAAGGCAGCAGCTTAATTATGCACAGGTCTGTCTAGGGTTTAGGGTTTAGGGTTTCTTCCTGAAGGAACCAGTGTCTGGGGTTTAGGGTTTGGGTTGTAGGGTTTCTGCGGCAGAGAACTAGTGTTTAGGGTTTAGGGTTTAGGGTTGTGGATGTTGGCTACACAGGAGGAAGCAGCAGCAGCTCTAAGGCAGCGGGATGCCGAGGCTGTGAAGGTATGGAAACCCTAAACCCTAAACCCTAAACCCTACTAATCCCGAGCTGGCAACCCTAAAATATATGAAACCCAGCACTTTCAAGGGTTTAGGGTTTAGGGTTTAGAGTTGGCGGCGCAGTATACAGTGTGTGTGCTGCAGATTGAGACGCTGCAGCAGCAGCAACAGCAGCTGCAGCAGAAGGCAGAGGAGCAGCAGAGTCTGCTGCGGCAGGTGCAGCAGGAGAAGGACCAGCTAGAGAAGCAGCTCAAGGAATATAAAGAGCGAGAGCAGCAAAAGGAAAACGAGCAGCAGCAACCGGAACAGCAGCAGCAGCAGCAGCAGCAACTAGCAGCAACAGATATACCTGAACCGGTGAGGATTTATCCTCTATTTTCCTTCGACAGGGGCTCTTTTATTAGGGTTTATGGTTTAGGGTACAGTAGGGTTTACTGTCTAGGGTTAGGGTTTAGGGTTTAGGGTTTAGGGTTTAGGGTTTAGGGTTTAGGGTTTTGGTGCGCAGGAGCAGCAGCCACGGAAGAGTGACAGCTTCTCTGGTCGCGGCGTTCTTTCGCGATATCGTGCGGAGGCATTTCAACTTGCTGCTGGAGGTGCAAAAACCCTAAACCCTAAACCCTAAACCCTAAACCCTAAACCCTAAACCCTTGGTCTTCATTCCATCTAAGAGGAAGTCCCTTTTCCTTATAGTTAGGGTTTGTGTGTTCGGGGGCAGCTGCCCTTGTAGGGTTGAATTTTGTGTACTGCAGCAGAGAGAAGGTGCAGCACCGTGCTAGGGTTTAGGGTTTGTGTGCTGCTGCAGCAAGAGAGAGAGAGCAGCAACTGCTGCTGCTGGAGAGCGAGCTACGATTCGCAAAACAAGAAAAAGAATTATTTTCTGCAGAGTGTTTATCTTTAACATCTGTTGTTGAAGACCTTAAGTAAACCCTAGACCCTAAACCCTAAACCCTAAACCCTAAACCGTAGATGGCACCTTAAGAACACGACTTCTCTCCAGTTAATATCACACCGAATAGCCAAGCTGCAAGCTCGGCAAAAGGAGCAGCTGCAGCAGCAACAGCAGCAGCAGCAGCAACAGCAGCAGCAACAGCAGCGGACGACACATCTATGCGAAGAACCGGGTTTCGATTAGGGTTTAGGGTTTTAGCGAGGGTTTAGGGTTTTGCGATATGCAGGCGTAAAATCCATCAACTGGAGGAGCAGCAGAAGCAAACACAAAATGCGCAGTACGTTGCTGCTGCTGCTACTGCTTGCTGCTGCTGCTGTTGCTTGCTGCTGCCGCTGTTGCTTGCTGCTGCTGCTGATGTTCCTTTTTGTGGCGACGGTGGTTTCTATGCTGTTTCCCTGCGGTGTATATTTGTGTTGGATTGGAGTCATTTTAGGGTTTAGGGTTTACGGATTAGGGTTTAGGGTTTGTGGTTTCAGGGCCGAGGCTGCTGCTGAGCTAACAGAGATGGAGGAATTGCTGCAGGAGGCAGCAGAAGAAACAAAACAATTAAAAGAAGAAAAAGAATTATTAATAAAAAGAATTAATGAATTAGAAGAAGGGTTTAAGGCTAAACCCTAATTAAACCCTAATTAAACCCTAATTAAACCCTAAACCCTATATTATTATTATTATTAAGGCTTTATTACCTTTACGTAACGCAACCCTAACACTCTTGCATGCTTTTGCATGCATGCATGCGTGCATGCACGGGGGTGTCTGCATGCATGCATCCGTGCATGCATGCATGGGGGTGTCTGCATGCATGCAAGCATGCATGCATGGGGGTGTCTGCATGCATGCAAGCATGCATGCATGGGGGTGCCTGCATGCATGCAAACATGCATGCAGTTGGGTGTCTGCATGCATGCAAGCATGCATGCATGCAGACACCCAACTGCATACAGATGCCCATACACCCGAATTATGCTGCAGCAGCAGCAAGCAGCAAATGTTGCTGTTGGCTAGGAGCTAATAATATTAATAAACGCTTTGTTTTTTTCTCTTCTTTTGTATAATTAAACTAGAAAACATAAAGAGGCTCCTCTATTTGACGCCAACAACTAGGGTTTAGGGTTTACGTACTACTAGGGTTTAGGGTTTAGAATGTTGATAAAATATAAAACAACAGTTATTGCAAACTGTTGTGAGGGTTTGCAATTCACGGAAGGTTTATAAGAAATATTTATGCGCTAACACTAGCGCATTAGGGTTTAGGGTTTAGGGTTTAGGGTTTATTAGCGGCGCCTCTGCCTCTTATCAGGAAGCAAAGTCTGCAAAACTTGACTTAATGAATTTTTCTTCTCCAATTGCACTAAAGGTGACGGGAAAGAGAGTTGATACTCGTTCTGCACACAAACCCTAAACCCTAAACCCTAATCCATAAACCCCAAACCCTCAACCCCAAACCCTAAACCCTAATCCCAATTGCATTTCCTCTTTGTCTACCATGAACACCCAAGAAACGCTCCTCGCAGGTCGTATGATGTACTTAGAGTCTCAGTGCATCAGGGTTTAGAATAGGGTTTAGGGTTTAGGGTTTTTAACTAACCTTATTCGTCCTCGATGGCTTCATACCAATTAAAGAGGCGCAGGCCTCGAAGCTGCAGAAACACCACAGCAGCAAACACACAACCCCACCTGCTGCTGCTGTTGCTGCTGCTGCTGCTGCTATTTTTTAAGTGGTGCTAAGATAGCCACTGCTAAACCCTAAATTAGGGTTTAGGGTTTAGGGTTTAGGGTTTACTTTGAATTTTTTCTGTTATTGAATTCATCCTCTAGGAGAGCCGTAAAATCAAACTTAAAGTCCGCAGACAATGCGCAGCAAATCCATGCTATAGTCGCCAAAACCCTAATCATAAACCCTAAACCCTAAACCCTAAACCCTCAAATATCCGAAACCCTAAAATACCCGAAACCACAAACCCTAAACCCTCAAACACCCGAGACCCATAACCATACAGTCTAAAAGACACTAAACACTAAACCTTTAACCCTATAAGACCCTAAACCCTAAACCCTAGAATACCCTAAACCCTAAACTCTAAACCCTTACTTGGTCTGTAGCTCTGTAGGCATAACATAACTGCCATTTTCTTTTTTTCTTAAGAACTCCGATTGTATCCAAGCTGCAACAGCGCTGCCTGGTGCTTCTCCTCCTACGCGGAGTTGCTTAGCGAGCTGCACATACCCACAAACCCTAAACCCTAAACCCTAAACCCTAGAAATGGATTATTTGGGCATTAGCTGCTGCGTCACAAACCCTGACACCCGCTCCAAGACATCCAACACCGCTGCGCCCTCACCCCCCCCCCTCCTCTAAACCCCCAAAACCCTAAACCCTAAACCCTAAACCCTACATCGATTTGATTAGCAAATGAATATCTTTGTTTATGTAATAATAAACAAAGGAATTTTAATATCTTTAATAGTCTAGCTAATTGATGCAAGGAGAGTTGCCTGCTGAGGTGTCTGTCCCCTCCAACTTGGTGCTGCAGTGCAACATGTTTTGCTGCTGCTAATATAAATTGTCCCCAATTTGCTGCTTGTTCATGCTGCTGCTGCTGCTGATGGTCATCCTGCTGCTGCTGATGCTGCTGCTGCAGCAAATGCAACAAAGGTGCAGCAGACATCCCTGTCTGCGCAGATCCATCATTCAATAACTCAAGGGGGACACAATCCTCTAGACAGAAAAGTTCTTCTATGCATGTTGCTGCTGGATTAAATCTTGGTAGCATTTGCTGCAGCATTTGCTGCTGTGCTGCTGCTGCTGCTGCACCTGCTGCTGCACCACTCAATCCTCCTGCTGCTCCACCACTAACAGCAGCAGCATCCTTACAATCCGTTAATTGCTTCAGTAGTGCAGCAGATGATAAGCCAGCGCTTGGATCCCGGTTACCCTATACACACACAAACCCTAAACCCTAAACCCTAAACCCTAAACCCTCGTACTGGATATTCGGCCGATCACTATTTGCGGTTTAGGACGTAAACACACATGCAAATAAGGGGCTAGGGATTGAGGTTTACGAGGCATAATGCGCTTAGTAACGGTTAGGGTTTAGGGATTAGGGTTTAGGGTTTAGGGTTTATGGTTTACCCCGCCAGCAATGAGGTTTGCCTTGGTCCTTGTCTTCTGCTCATTCTGCTGCTGCGCAGCATAGACGTTGCGCACTGTTAAGTAACAACTCCTGAACACGCAAACCCTAAACCCTAAACCCTAATCCTTAGACCCTAAACCCTAAACCCCGAATGTTACTGTACAGACCCTAGATAGCAGAAAGTACACTTGCTGCTGGATGCACTCTTGAAGCCTGAAGGGTTTAGGAATTAGGGTTTAGGGTTTAGTGTTTGACGGACGAGAGGAGAGGATAACATTTAGTGTAATAACTACGAAGAAGCTCAGGAAGGATTTTCTCTTCAAAGCTGCAAACAACAACAAGATACACATACACCACAAACCCTAAACCCTAAACCCTAAACCCTAAACCCTAAAACCATAAGGGCCTACACCCCTCCTCTTATCTATACACCCTTGGACATCCCTAGGCTCTAAACCCTAAACCCTAAACCCTCGCGAGTGCAGCTAACATTTTCTCGTTGCAGATTCCTTCTTGTAGGGAGATAGCTGCTGCTTCTGCTGCTGCTGCTGCTGCGTGTGTTTTTCTTAGCATCGCAGCAGAGATGCCGTGTGCTGCTGCTGCAGCAGCAGCAGCAGCAGTAGGAGTTGTTGCTGCTGCAGCACCGCAAGAACGTCTCCCTGCCTTAAATATAAACTCTATTAATTCCTCCTCGCTCCTTATTGGCTTTGCTGCAGCACGAGCTAGCTGCCTAGACACCTCAAGCTGCTCCTCTGTTGTAGATACAGCACGAGCAGCATATGCTGCTGCTGCCCAAGATCCTGTCTGCTGCAGCTGCAGTCTAGCCTGCAGCAGCAGCAGCAACAGCAGCAACGAGTTTGGTCACCAGAGCAACAAGCCAATGGGAGAGGACTCCACTAAACACTAAACCCCATCCCCTAAACCCTAAACCCTAAACCCTAAACCCTCGTGAGTACAGCCATACTTGATTAGTATGTTTAAGTTCTTGAGGAGATAAATGGCAATTATTATTAAGAAGAGAACGGAGACCAAGAGAACGAATAAAAAAAGATTGACGTAAATTATCTGCTCCTCTCTTCATCTCTTGACGTTGTGCAGCAAACTGCAGCAACAAACCCTAAACCCTAAACCCTAAACCCTGAATACTAAACCCTAAACACTACTAAACACCAAATAAACCAACTCACCAAACTATCCACAAATCAAGGACGACACAAAGAACTCTAAACACTAAAAACCCTAAACCCTAAACACCGCTCGTCTATCCTTCCCAAACACACACCTACAAACCCTAAACCCTAAACCCTAAACCCTTACGAAATCGCTGGTCCTCTGTTCAGGTGTCTCCTGAAGGAAGAAGGAGAGACGACCGCAAGGGGCGATAGAAAGAGTGTTTGTCTTCTCGTCAATAATTACGCAATACTCCCGCCTTCAACACACAAACCCTAAACCCTAAACCCTAAACCCTAAACCCCAAACCTTAATAACAGAAGAACGGCAACAAGACAACTCCCACCGAAGCAAAACAGCAGCACCAAGCAACCAATAACCCCATCCTTATGCAGATGCACCAACAGCAGCAGCAGCAACAGCAGCAGCAGCAGCAGATGCAATTACCTGCTAGCTAATGTTGCTGTCATGCCCCTTAGATTATCTTGATAGATCTTTGCATGCGGCAACACTTCTGCTGCTTTTGCTTCGTCTACTGCAGCAAGGAATACCTGACGACCCATCCATTCTCCTGCTGCTGCAACACCTAGCTGCTGCTGCTGCTGCTGGTGGTGGTGCTGCTTCTTGCTGCTGCTGCTGCTGCTGTTGCTGCTGCTGTTTATAGCCCACCTAGGCTCAAAGGAACGAACACGGGGCTTTCTCTGCAGACGCAGCAGCACCTTCCTGCTGCTGTCAGCAGCAAGCCGTGTCTCCTTTCTCTTGCTGCTGCTGCTGCTGCAGCTGCTGCGGCTAATCATGTTTGTTGTCTCTAGACCAAGGAGACAGGACCCGTCCTCGCATGCAGAGTCGCGCATGCGTTTGCGGCTGCTCTTCCCTAGCTGCTGCTGCTGCAGCAGCAGCGCGCGATGCCGCAGCAGAGACACACGAGAACTACGAGAGAGCTGCGCATACACCCCAGGTGTGGGGTTGCTGCTTAGTTGCTGCAGCTGCTGCAGTGTCTCATCATGTTTTGAATGCTTACGCTGCCCTTGCTGCTGTTGCTGCTGCAGTCGTGCTGCAGCAGCCTTCTGCAGCCGCTGCAGATAGGGAGTCAAGACATGGCCTTGTGCCTCCCCACCCCTAGCGGAAGTATTTGCTGCTCGCTGCTGCCGCTGCTGCTGCTGCTGCCAGACAGAAGCAGGAGAAGACACCAGTTTCCTTCGGAAACGCCTGTAGCAGCAGCAGCAGCAACACCAGCAGCAGCAACAACAACGTGCATGCACAGACGGCACAGACGTGCGCGATACAACAGCAGCAACGACACTCCATACAGCAACAGCAGCAGCAGCAACAGCAGCAACAGCAACAAAACAAGAGCAGAAGCAGCAGCAGCAGCAGCAAGCAGACCTGTAGGCGCTTTGATCTCTAACAAATCCACAGAAAGAGTCCTCGCTGCTAGAATACTCTACTGTCAAGTCTGCTGCTGCTGCTGCTGCTGCTGCAGCTGCTGGTGCTGCTGCTGCTTCCCCTCCATTGGCAGCAGCTGTCTGATCCTCTGCATCATCACTGTCTTCGCCAAAGTCGACTTCCTCCCGTTTTGTGCTGCTGCTGCTGCCCTTCTGCTGCTGCTGCTGCTGTTGCTGCAGTTGCTGCTGCTCCTGCTCCTCCAGCAACTTTATCTGCTGCCGGCCAGGCAGCAGCCGCATGCGCCGCTTGCGGGGCTGCATGCGCCAACTGTCATTAAAGTGTGTAAACCCTAAACCCTTATAAGCCATCACACCATCTGCTGCAGCAAACCTGCTGCTGCTGTCGTTGCTGTTGCTGCATGCAGCGCACAGGGCACAGCTGCACCCGTCAGCTGCAGCAGCAGCTGCTGCTGCTGCTGAAGCAGCAGAAGCAGCAGCAGCAGCAGCGGCTGCAGCAGCTTCCGTCTCGGATGCGCTGCTGTCACAGTCCTGCTGAACCTCCAGTCCACCGTCTGAGGGCACAACAGCACATAAACCCTAAACCCTAAACCCTAAACCCTAAACCCTAAACCGCATTCCTATGACGCTCCTATGCTTGTAGGGTTTGCCATCTGTCTAATCTTAAGACTAGAGGAGTGTTTAGCGAGGATTTAGGGTTTAGCGAGGGTTTAGGGTTTAGCGAGGGTTTAGGGTTTAGCTAGGGTTTAGGATTTAGCGAGGGTTTAGGGTTTAGCGAGGGTTTAGGGTTTGAGGGGAGCATTACCAGCAAAGAGGGATGCGTTGTATGTTTCTTGTGATACAGGTTTTCCTGCTGCTGCTGTGTCTGCTGCTGCAGCACGGGAAGCAGCAACAGCAGCAAAGCCGCTGCTGCTGCCATGTAGCAGCTGCTGCTGCTGACGCCAGTGGCGGCGCCTCTCTTTGCTGCGGGGTGCAGATGTCTGCTGCAGCAGCAGCGGATGCATGTGCTGCAGCTGCTGCAGCCACAGCAGCAACTCTGCCGCGCTGCTGCTGCTGCAGTAACCCCCTCCCCACACAGAGCTGTATATACACTCCAAGCTTCCTGCAGCAACAGCAGCAGCAACAGCAGCAGCAACAGCAGCAATGAGTTTTAACAGCAACTCCAGCAGCAGCAGCAGCAGCAGGTTAACAGCAGCAGCAACTAAAACAGCAGCAGCAACAGCAGCAGCAGCAGCAGCAGGAGATGCTGCTTACCCAAATAGACCCGACGTCCGTCTTCTATCTTTTTAATACTGAACTCTGGAGTGTCAGCAGCAGCAGCTGCTGCTGCTGCTGCCTCTGCTGCTGCTGCTTCTGCTGCTATTGCTGCAGCAGGAGACACCTCCTCTAAGGCACTATCTGGTTGCTGGTGGCGCAGCAGCAGCTGCTGCTGCAGCACCAATGCCTTAACAAGGTTTGTCTCTGCTCCTCCGCTGCGTGCAGCACAAGTCCCTTGCTGCAGTTGCTGCAGCTCCTGCTGCTGCAGCAGCAACCAGAAGAAGCAGCTGCTGCAGCTCAGTGCAGCTGATCCATGGGACAAGAAACAGGGTGGTGGGGGAATTTGCTGCTGCTGCTGCTGCTGCTGCTTCAGCTGCTGCAGCAGCACTTTTCTTTCCGATTTTGACAGCAGCAGCTGTACTGCCGATTTGCTGCTGCTGCTGCTGCTGCGCAGCAGCAGCAACTCAACAAAGCTGCAGCCAGGAGTAGACATGCTTGCTGCTGCTGTTTGCCACAGCCGCAGCTCCTTCCTAGGTTTAATTAGTTGCTGCTGCTGCTGCTGCAGCAACTGTATTTGCTGCGAGGATTCCTGTTTTACTGCTGCTGCTGCTATTGCAGCACCAAGACCACCGCTCGACAGCAGCAGCTGCTGCTGCTGCAGCGCATGCAAGCTCGTGCTGCGCAACCATTGCTGCAGCAGCAACTGGACCCGCAGCTGTTGCTGCTGCTGTCTTCTTGCCTGCCGCAGTGCTGCACGCAGCGGCAACACAGGAGCAGCAAATCGTTGCTGCTGCTGCAGTAGCCAACCGCCATGACTGCTGCTGCTGCTGCTGTCGTCGTCGCTGCTGCTGCTGTATATATATGTGTCTGCGTCTGCTGCAGCAAACAGCCGCCCACGCTGCAGCAGCCTTCCTTTGCGAAGTTGCTGCAGTGTCTTTGCTGTTGCTTCTGGCCCTGGCGGCTGCTGCTGCTGCTGCTGCTGCTGCTCTGCTGCTGCTTGCTTCTCCAGGTCCTGCACTTCCTCCTCCAATGCCTGCAGTACCTTCTGAAATAGTTCTGCTTCCTGCTGCTGCTGCTTTGCTGCAGTCAGCTGCTGCTGCTGCTGCTGCTGCTGCTCTCCCTTCAGCCACGAATCAGCAAACGCATGCATCTCTCGGGTGTATGTACACCCCGTGTGCATGCGGTTTTGGATGTCGGCCTGCTGCCGCCTCCATACCAATGTAAGTTGTGCTGCACCTGCTGCATTTGTTGCTGCTGTGTGCTGCTGCAGCTGCTGCTGCAGCAGCTTCACAATGGTACCAGCACCCTGCTGCTGATCCGCATCTCCCTTACCAGACTGTCCTGCTGCTGCTGCAGGGGCAGCAGCAGCAGCACTCTTTGCTTGCCTTCTAGACCCCATACTATTGCTTCCCTTGCTGCACTTGCTGCTGACGCTTGTGCCGTTGCTGCTGCTGCTGGGGCTGCAGCCGACAGGCCTTACAAAATAGGGGTGTTGATGCACCTACCGCAGCAGTGCTGCTGCTGCTGCTGTACAGTCCTAAGCAACTACTCACTCAAGGGAATTGCATACAAGAGCGGCAGCCGCTGCCGCAGCAGCGGCTGCTGCTGCAGCAACAGCTGCTGTAGCAGAAGGATCGATTGAACCAGCTACAGCAGCCGCAGCAGCAACAGCTGCTGCCCTATGCCAATGAGGATTCTTTGAGGTGTACGTACACTGGAGATATGAATAATAAAATTATTATAATTTAGTTTAGCTGCATCTTTTGTATAGCTTAGAAGGATCGGCAATAGTGTGGGGCAGCAGCAGCAGGCTGCATGCAGCGGGAGCAGCAAGCAGCAGCAGGAAGGTGTTCTTATTGCTGCTACTGTTCAAGAAGGCAGCAACCCCTTCCTCTGCTAAATTAGTATAAATTGAATATTAAATATAATTATTTAATTAATAATATATAAACAAAAATAGCTGCTGCCCTGTTCCTGCTGCATGCAAGGATCGGCTTGTTGCAGCCCCAACAACTGCAGCAGCAGGAAGCAGAAGCAGCAGCACTAACCGTCTATGTTATCTATCCACCGCAGCAGCAGCACAATTAAACACAACAAGACGCATGCAGCCTCAACCCCACATGCTCCAGTTCTTCCTCTACTGCAGCAGCAGCAGCAGCAGCATCAGCAGCAGCACCTCAAATAGGAGACCTCTCTTGAAGTATATACAACCTAAGAACTTCTATAGCAGCAAAAGTGTTAAATATAATTAAAATAAAAAGACAATTAAATAATTTTATTATTTAATTAAACAAACAATTAATTACTTAGTTAGTAGGTAGGGAGGAAGAGAGGTATGCAGGGAGGTGCAGGAACCTCTCGTATGCCAACCAGCATACAAGATGTGCTGCTGCAACTTGCTGCAGCAACAGCAGTTTGCATGCATGCATCAGGAGCACCAAGCAGCAGCAGCAGCAGGCCCCAAGCAACAACAAAGATAGCATAATCTATTTGTGTGTCTAACCAATACCTTCTTGCTGCATGCATTAACAACACAACTAACACTTTGTATATACAAGTTTTTTTCTTGTTGTATAGCAAAGAAAATAAATTAAATATTTATATATGCAAGGGGGACACTCATGATGGCAAATTCCTTAAAAAGGAGACACATAAAAGGAGACACATTACATTATAATCCACCTCTGTGTCCTTTATCTTCTTTAGTCTCTTATGGTGTTACCCTTCTCTTCTTATGTTGGTTAATAGACTTGTCTTACAGGAGTTAGGGGTAAGAAGTAAAAATTAAATTAATTAATTAATTAATTAATTAATTAATTAGTTAATTAATGGCGTAATTGGCTCTGCCTAGAGGATATATGCAGTAAGGAGCAGAGATGCATCTTTGCTGAGTCTATCAACAAAGAAAATACTGTCCCTAAGAGAGGCTGCGGTGTGTGGTAAACCCTAAACCCTAAACCCTAAACCCTCAGCAGCACTAACCTAGGCTATTTATCTACACCACCCAGTCATGATTATATATCTTGCCAAGGCCTCGATTCTTGAGGCCTTGCTGCATGCGCATGCATGTGCTGCTATGAAGCAGCATTACTTCTTTCCTCTTGCTGCACTAATTCTCCTCCTCTCCTTCCTCTATACACCTCAGGCCTAGGTTTATTCCGTGGTGAATTGATATAACAAACAACCCTAAGGAGCAGTACACAAACAAAAACGCTGGGCTAATTGTAAAGGGGGATGTAAAATTATTCAGGAAGCTCTCTCCATTGCATGCATTTCCTCCTGTCTTACTCTCCCCCTACTGCATGCATTTCCTCCTGTCTTGGTGTCTCTCTCTAAAGCACAGCAAAGAGCGGGGACTTGGGTAGGGAAAGGAGACAGTTAGTGCAGCAGATCTCCTATACCCCTACACAGCATCTGTTGAGTAATGATACAAATTCATAAACGTTAATGCAGACAGTAATAAGAACAACAAATTTGCTGCTGCTGCTGCTGCTTCCTTCATTACTGCCATCAGCATGCTGCATCTTGCATGCGGGTGCAGGAGAGGCTTCTCCCATTGCCTTCTTGGCAATGTTATTTAAGTAATAATTGTGTCTCCTCTAAGTGTATGACTTAGCACACTATAAGATAAGGTTGTCCTTGATTATATACATTTCCTACACTGCTTTGCTTCTGCTCTCTTTGCTCCTTTCCTCTTCTGTCCTCACACAGGAAGAGGGTATACAGTCACCAACAGATTCTCGTGGTTACCCAAGGGTTACCCGTGGTCTACTGCTCCTTAAGGAGTTGCTAAGGACACAGAAAATAAATCAAGAGTCAATGCTTTCTTTAGATCGGCTGTTCCTTTGGAGTCACAGACTTCACTAGCAGCTGTCTACTACTGCTGCTGCTGCTGCTGCTGCTGCTGCTCTTAGAGAAGCAGCTACCCCAGAAGCAGAGAAAGGAGTTTTTTGCACGCCTTTGGTCTTATCATAAGACTGTCGTCCTGTTTAGTAGGAGGAGTAGTAAGACAGCTAGTAGCAGTAGCTAGCAGTTGAGGCCCCTTCTGATACTGCAGCAGCATGAAGACCTGGGCGTGCTGAGGAGAGTAGGCAGTGTGGCTCTAGCTGCATTGTAGCTCTTCCAGCTGCAGTTGTAGCTGGCAGCAGCTGCATGCAGCCGCTGCAGCAGCAGCAGCGGCTGCAGCACACAGAACTCACCACCCCCCCACCCCCCCTTGAAGGCACTCATAGAACGTCTAACGGCATCTTCAATGCATGCACTTCTTTGGGCTTTTAGGGCTTAACAAGCCTCCCCTCTGCTATTTATTAACAGTAAAGTTGCTGGTATTAATTAACAGTTAATAAGACCCCGCTAGCATATACACTGCAGGAGCAACAGGGAACAGCCTTCTGGCGGAGGAGGCACTTTTTGTGTCGTTTATCTTGCTGCTGCTGTGTACAACTCCCCTAAGGGCATGCAAGTTACTAAACCATAAATAAATAAACCCTAAACCCTAATTTAGTAGTAGGAGTAATAGTTAGTGCTTATTATAGTATAGTGTATAGTGTATATATACAGGGGTTAGGGGGGGGTGTGGGGCCCCCCTGCTGCAGCAACATTGCATTTAGTTTTAGTATTAATATTAATAAAAGAAAATAAAAGGACTTATTCTGTTACGTAAAGGCAATACTGCTGCAGCTGCAGCAAGAAGGCCTCACTGCAGCAGCGATGGAGGCGGCGGCAGCAGCAGCAGCTGCTGCTGCTGCTCCACTGAACACCCTGTTGCTGCTGCTGCTGCTGCTACCGCTACAGCAGAGGTTAGATGTTTGTTGGTCTGTAAATGCGTTTCCTTTAGATAGGGCTCGAAGGCTGCGGGACTATCCCGTCTACTCCTCCCGCAGCAGCCACAACGCAGCGGCAGTGGCAGCAGCAGCAGCAGCAGCTGCTGCTGCTGCTGCCTTCGCTGTTAGTCTTCTTGCCTTAGACCTCTGCCACATCAGACGATCCTATTGAAGTGTATTTGCTGCTTCACCAACAGAGGGGGGGCAGCAGTACATGCATGCAGAGAAGGTGACCCGGGGAACGACCAACGGACACTGCAGCAGCAGCTACAGCAGCAGCAACAGCTGCTGCTGCTGCTGTTGCAGTAGTTGTAACTACAGTGGAGGCAGAGCAACAGAAGCTGCCACGAGTGTTAGCCCGATCAGCACCAGCAGCAGGAACGCGGGTAGCAGCATCAGCAGCAACAGCTGGAGCCACTCGCGGCGATAACAGCAGCAGCAGCAACTGCAGCAGCAGCAAGAGCAGTTGCTGCAGAGGCTGTCTTAGCAGACGGGCAGTGTAAATACTTCCATGCCTTCTCCAGGAGGGTTCAACACCCGCTGCAGCAGCAACAGCAGCAGCAGCAGCAGTTTGTAGAAGCACTGGTTGCAGCGGTGGCAGTATCTGCTGCAGTAGCAGCAGCTACTGCAGCAGCGGCATGAGCCAGCCTGCTGCGGCTGCTCAGAGCCGCGGCCTTCTTGAAGTTCCTAGCGGCAGCAGCAGCAGCAACAGCAGCACCAGCAGCGCCAGCAGCAGCGTCAGCAGCAGCAGCGCCAGCAGCAGCAGGACCAACGTCAGCAGCAGCAGCAGCAGCAGCAGTTGCAGCTGGGCCAGCGCCTATAGCGGCAG